GAAAATGCATGTGTAAGCGGTGATTTTTAATGACCGATAAAGAGTGCACTGGACAGCTGTTTCGTCCTGTTTGGGACTTATCAGCTATATTATTATTATTATTTACCACCGGCTTGAAAACAAGCATGGTGCCAACGCAACAACAATGACAGTGAAAGGGGATAGGTGGATTAGGATACAGAACATGGTGAAAAGTGGACGAGACTGTTAAACATGGAAAATACAAGATAACAATTTTTTTTGTGTTTCACCGTACACCTTTTGCAATCTTTTTGTTGTCTGATGTTTCGTTTTTCTTTGTGCTCCTGTCAGGACCATGAAGATTCCGGGTCGGGACTTCAAATCTTTTCCCTGCTGAGTCCTAAACAGGACGAAACAGCTGTCCAGTGCACTCTTTATCGGTCATTAAAAATCACCGCTTACACATGCATTTTCAATTAATGGGGAATAAACAATCTCCTAAGGAGTGAAACCCATAATCAAAACCATCAACAGTCCCTGTGAACAAAAACGGATGGACTAATCCAAAAATTACTATTCTGAATTATTTTTCCTTAGGGTCCTGTTACCTCGCTATCCCGAGGACTTCGCGTCAACCTATTTTAGTTTGCGATAATGAAGCGATTCATTGTTCATAGAGGCCAATTTTCGTCCATGTGATTGGAAATGATGGTGATAACATTTGTGACGCTACTATGCGATCAAAATTGTGACTAGGAGTTTCAAGATAGAAGACGTAAATAACGTGTGTATAGTGCAACCATGCAACACATGCGAAAAAAATCCAGACCAGTTTTGACTACTGCAATGGAATTCAGTAGCGAGATGTTCACTATGGATCTATGTTTGGACCAGTCAGCCGCACACGCAGGCAAATCACATTCGACCGCACAGGGGAACCATGATTTGTCTGGTACATGTCCTAAAGGGATATTTTGCGAACAGCTTCGCGAATCCATTCCACAAGTTGGATACTGAATGACCGAGCTTTATCTCAGCAGTTAGAATTGTACACACAAGCCAGTATTGAACCTGATCTATCGGATCACACACAGGAGAGCAAGCATGCTGCCAAAAAGAAAACATCCAAGTATGGACAGGGGACAGTCGAGAACAAAATTCGAAAAAATCGGGAGCGGGGGAGGAATTTTCAAGCTATCAGGTGTTGAATACGTTTCCCGCCGAATTAGACAGTCCGTAACATCATTTCGCAATTCGAATATGTGGGGAACAAATGAACCCTTGGACGGAGTGGCCTGCAACAGACCCGGTGTCCGTAAATTTGCATGGAATCGAAACACGAACATACGTGAGTGATGATGACTGTCAACTGCATACTTCCGGGCTGAGGATTGCTGTTCAAAACCCGAAGGTGAACATGGACAGTGTGCGGTATGCTGATGAGTCCCGACCAAGAGGACACAGTTGTTCAGTGCGCACAAATTAGTTCACAATGTTTCAGTTTCAGCTCCGTTAAAACCATTCGCCATACACATTTGCGCTTCGGTTCTGGTTGCTCTCTCATGGCTGCCCATTGGGATAGAACAGTAGAAGGAAGATTAGAATGTTGTGAGTAGAGTCAAAGAGAAGATAGAGAATTCGAATGAACCAAGGTTGAACGGATAATGAGTAGATGCATCAGCGCCACTGCGGCACACCCATGTCACTCAATGTCTCTAACAACCGGTCACGTGAATCCTGGTGGCCCCATCCAGGAAGCCTACCGCGGCCTATCTGAGCAAGTCTTCTGGTCAGAGTTTTCAAACCATCATGCTAGGTTTGAGTTTGACCATCTATCACTTTTTCCCATCCAGCACCTGCCTCGACAAACAGTACGCGAAATGGTAATCTATTTGGTGACATATGCAACACACTCTAACTAGCTTAGTCTATGGAGGTCAACCACTTGCTCCAGTAGACGACCACAGTTACCTAAAACATTGCACCTAACCTCAAAATTGCTTGTCCAGTTCCCCCATCAGACTCAACCCCGGTAATATATGCATATTCCCATTTCCCAGAGATGTTCCCACTATTAGAGCAATTGGCATTCTTTGCTCACAGCTAGATTGCATAATTTTGATGCATCGTTACTTTCATTTTTTCAGTGTAGGCATTTTCCAATTTGTTACCTTCTACCGCCAAATGTCTGTTAGGATTTATTTTTATCGTCCCTTACAAGTTTTTATTTTCAGGATGTCAGGCACCCTAGACACTGTGATGGTTCATGCGGATGATGATATTCGGGAACACAGTGAAAGTAGTGTTGGGGAGGAGGTTACATCACGAACAGCGAAAGTTAGAGCAGCTTTCGCAAACCTGCGACATCCGACTGTCCCTTTAAGGAAGGGTGTAAGTCGTCGCGGTTCATAGCGTTCTACTTTACGGTTGCGAGACTCGGCCCCTCCGCGTTGAGGATGCTAATCGATTTTCTGTATTGGACCACCGATATCTCCGAAGCATTGCTCGTGTCTGGTGGGAAAACCGGGTGAATAATGACAAGGTTAGTCGTCGTGTCGGGTGTGGATAGTCGTTCTCTAACAGAAGTAATCGCTCTACATCGCCTCCGATGGCTTGATCACGTATTGCGTATACCTGCCCATCGACTATCTATCCGTGTTCTCTTCGCACGTTTCGGGGAAGGCTGGAAGAAGCGGCGCAGCGGTCAGACCGTGACATGGCGTAGATTTATGACCAAACTGGTTTCAGTTTTGGCTTCCGTTGGTAAAGACCGCCTTCCAGGTTGGGGCCCAAGGAATAAGGATTGTCGCTGGTTAGAGACGCTGAGAGATATGGCCCAGAAAAGAAGTCAGTGGCGCAAATGCTGTACGGTTTACCTGTTGAAGTCCCGTGCCCCGTAAAAACAAACAAAAGAAAGTCAAAAGGTGTACGGTGGAACATACAAAACATCTTTTTATTCCAGTTACCAGTTCTGTGCAAGAACTGACGGATAGAGAGAGAGAGAACGGAGCGTATTGTCTTCAGTAAACTGCCAATCACATCATCAGCAGTTAATTGGGGGAGGGGGCGCAAGTTGTGCTTGGAATCCGCAGTATTTGTGACGAGTGAGTGAAGGTCATCTGGCAGCAAGTGTTGAATAGTACAGGAGGCAAGAAATCTGTTCCCAATAGGTTCATGTTTATGTTTTGAGCCATAGAATGCATGGAAAATCGTTACTTGTCAGTGAATGCTATGCACACAGCTATCTATCTATCTATCTATCTATCGATGCACACAGAGTGCAGTGGAACACAAACAACCGTCGGCCAGGTGGGTTCTGCTAGAGCGCACGTTACACATGAAGATAACACTGTTTGGAGTCCTTTATGGTAGCCGTGATTTGAACAAAGCAAAAAAGTGCACAAAAATGTGTGTGACCAAGAAACACGAGGAGGTGAGTCAGTACACCCATTATGTTCTCTCTCCGTTGTTGACCTTATACAAACATATATGAAACAGTGTCAACACAGACCGAGCATTTCATCTATCCTCAATCAGCAAATCAATTTCAGCAACACTGTGGCACGGCTTCAAACGGGCGAATCGATCGAGTCGTACAATAATCACAAAAACAACAACAAATCAGATGCAGTGGAGATATTTGTCGGTACAATCAAAATGAGGTCCGTTGTCAAGCGAAACAAACAGATAACTGAACTGCACTAATACGTGCGATTGTGTTAGTGCAACAATTTGCATACGGTTTTAAAAGGAAAGCATCTGTTAAAAGTGCAGACCGATTGGTTGTTTGACCCTTGAACAAAGAAAACAGAGGAACGCAGACAACAAGAGAGAGAGGGGGGAGATGAAGAATATTATTTACGCAAGCATGAGATTCCCCGGGAACAGAAACTGAAGACAAAAGTGAACCCGATATTTTTCGATAGACGCATTGTAACGGAAAGGTGTGCCATGACTAAAAGAATTTCTAGTTGGAATGCGTCTGAACCCATTGAATTCGTTCCGTGAAAAGTTCCGGAAAAGAGGGCGAGAGAAACTCCGTTTATCACTCGACTTTCATCGCGTAACAAAAAGCAAAAAGCATCATCAGGTGGGGCAGTGGTTTAGTCGCTGTCACTGGCGTGCTTTGGATCCAATGGTCCGAGGTTCGAGCCTCGTCACCACCACTCAACCTTGGCGGTAGACAGCTTTTCTGTCACCCGGTTCAATACCACACCTAACCTATCGGGGCCTTAAGTGGTTATCCAATCCAAGTCCCGGGGCTTAGGTTACCAGTTTCCATCACTGAACAGCGTCTTCATGACCATGGGGTTTCAACTCCGTCTGCTGTTCACCACACAACGGAGTGTAATCAAAAAAATATTGCAAACCAAAGGAAGGAATCTCAGTGCAGGCAGAATCAGAACTCCACACTGACGTGCGTCCATATTTAGAATATGGTGCACATGCACGGGCGCCTTATTTTAAACAGGACGAACGCTGTCTTGAGAAAGTACAGCGCTTAGCAAGTAGAATGGTAGCAGGTCAGAAAGGCAAGAGATACCTCCAACGACTGCGGGACCTGGACCTGTTCTCCCTGGCCCGCAGAAGCATGCGGGGCGACCTTATGGAGACATTTCAGATTGCCAAAAGGCTTTCGGGTCTAAAGTTCCAAAACGTATACTCGTTTGTTCCTGCCAGGGGCACGAGGGGGCATCAACTTAGATTGGAAAGAAGTCATTGTAGACTAAACTTTCGAGCTAGGTTCTTCACAAACAGAGTTATACCACTGTGGAATAAACTACCTGAAGCAGTGGTTAACTGTATTAATGTCAAATCTTTCAAGTGAAGGCTAGATGAATGTCGGGCAATGGTATTTCCCGAAGTTAAGTGTTGAAAGTTAATCGTTAGGCTTTACTTTCCGAAACACTATAATGGTTTGATACTGCACACTAACATTCTACCTTTCAGAAACTACTCATGACTCGAAGTGTAGGAAGCCAACGAAACCGCCGACAACACAAGGAACTGGACGCGCGATTGGCAAGAGCCACAATTCGTCCTGTGAGAACTGAACTTAACGTGCACTAGTCTCGTCGGTTGTTGGGACTCATTGGTGTAAGTGTTATGCCCTCTATGGCAGCACAGAACACAAAACAATAAAGACAATACACAGCACCAGGGAAGATTACTGTACCATGATTTGTTTTGCACACAGTCTGGCGTCAGACGTGTGAAATATAATAATATGTCACCACACGATCCTTGAGTGAACAACGTGACGGACCTTGGACATTGATGTGAAAATAAGGGAGCCAACCAATCAGTAAAGTAATGGCGATAACATTCAAAAGTGCATTACTGCCAACTAGGTTTACGGAAAAAAAAATATCAGTACAGGATTCTTTAATGAGACAACAGAGGGGGGAGTAGGCCGTCTACTTGGTAATATATATTTAACACGTAACTAATTACAGAGAACTGACAAATGTACCACAACAAATGAAGAAAGAGATGTGAAAAGGGTTTAAATATAAATCAGTGAATAAGAATTAGGCACAATTAACGCAGGTTACCAGCCATGTCTGCTAGTGTCTCAAGCCATCAATGTTCGCTGTCCTTGGGACCCTGAACTGGGAGTATAGAACGTCTCACCACTGCCAGTTTTGAGGTAAACGGCTTCATTGTTGGAGCTGAGGTTATTGGTTGTCCAACTTGTCGTCGCTTCCAGTTAGTGTCGGCATACGCAAACATAACATGAAGGGGCAGTCGTTGAGCCGGCATCAGCAACAGGTGTCCCAGAAACCGAAGCCTCTGGGGTGAGATGACGACATTCAGGGGACTGACGAACCTCGTCGTTCGTGAGTAGCTGCAAACAACGTATTCCGACGATGCAACGGGGGCGTCCACGCCTACCGCGTGGAGGAGCCAAATCTTACAGCGCATTGTGGCATTGTAAACGCGGCTTTTCAAGGAACTTTTATTAACGATTACCAACATCAGTTTATTTTGTCATGATTGTGATCGGTCGTATCAACGGTTAGAAACACTGGATGGAGTTGCTCTGTGGTAAACCATGGAGCTCAACTGAGTTTCTTTGAAAAAGTTAATTTAACTCAATTCTGTACCCATACCCCTGTACTGCTTCCAATTATCTGTCCTCCTTTTTTATTGGACACATCTCTGTATGATGAACAGTTAAAGGTGTAAACCCGAAAGTCACGAAGACATGCCGTTCAGTGGCGGAGGTGTCTTCATACCAAAGTGAGAGAACGAAAATCCGACAGTCGGGGCTGTAACCGGGTTGGTGGACCACCGGTAGTTCACCTAGGGGAGTTGACAAAACCCCTGATTCCAAACCAACCATGAGGAGCAGTACGAAACACACCCACACTTTTTCGGTTGTGACAGTGATCACCGGCTCGATTGGGCATTGAGGTGTATTGGGCACCTTGNACGTTTGACCCCGTCCGAAGAGCGAATGATCCGATGAACCAAACCGGCTCCCAATGGACTGCGGTTTTCACACACCGCTCCGCTGCCTTGCGGGTTAGGCTTTGGCTAGCCGAAGGCTCCTGTTGTGGATTCCTCAAAGATATTCACTTGCTTTGGCCTGGGCAACCTGACAGTATTTAGCCCACAAACCAATCATGGAACGTTTTTTTATAAAGATTATTATGCTATGATTTGCCTGGCACACAGGCTGTCCTCAGACAAGTGTGATGGAAACCGGCAAACTTAACCCCGTGGGATTTGGAGTGGGGAACCACATTGGGCCCGTAAGGTTAGAAGTGGTATTGAACCGGACCGGACAGCAAAGTTGTCTACCATCAAAGTTGGGTAGCGGTGGCAGGGTTCGCATCTCAGATCCAAAGTACACCGGTGAGAGCGACTAAACCACCGAGCCACCATCACCACCACCACCACCACCCAAATTGACATCCAAAACTAAGATGAACGCGCGAATGTGCACCGTTATTTGTTGCAACGAACACTCAACCACCAGAATCGCAGTTTGACTTTGGCGATTGGCAGTTTAGCGTGCATCCGGAGTCAATACCACACCTATCTTTACCTATCCTAACAAATCTTGTACTGCTGGGGATCTCAAGTTGTGTGCTGGTAGGTTAGGTTGTCCGCTACCATAACCGAACAGTAGGTCCTCGTGCCTGTGTGAATCAGCCCTTCTACTGACCATATCACTGAGGTATGTAGTAAAAGATTTGTTTTGATTGTAACTACACTGCGAGCCTTTCAGCACTGATGTATGCCTTGGTCTACTCCGCGTTTCTACCTTTTGAAACCGAACTCTCAAAAAACGCTACTGTCGGATATGGTTCAATGAGGGCGTACTAATGGTAGTGAGAAAATAGATAGAGAAAATATTCAACGAACAACTGGTAATTTCGGAGGGGGGAGCACACTTCAGTGTTTAATGTAATAAAAATGTGATAGCAATATATTGCACCGAATTTCGGTATCAGACGGATGGCACAGGTGAATAATTCAAAGAAACCCGAAGTCTAACTAATGTTTACAACAAAGTGGTTTCGGATTCAAAAATATCAACCCGACACAATAAACGTATCCCTGTTTGATGCATAGGATGATCAACTCCGACTGAATTCGGGCACTGAGTACACACACTAACCTATCACTGCTTTGCGACGCTCCGTTTCCGCCTCACGTTCTACCACTTTTTGTCTCTGTGTGGCGATAAGCAATTTGGTCTTCTCACCCTCCACCGCCTCGTAGTTTCGTCGAATCGCGTCCGGGATTTTTGGTTTGGTCACTCGAACTGCCTGCACGAAAAGACCCGGGGCCATCACTGTTAAGTCTTCTTGAAGTGTTCGCTTCAGGTACTCATCGATTTGATCTGTGGAACAGAAAAATGTATTCGGAGAAAGAAAGACGGAAAAAACTATGACAGAAAGGTAACCTGGTGGTGGTAAAGCAAGAGTGCGTACACTGAAGTTTAGTTCAGTTCTTACAACCGTTAATTATGCACTTTCGTGCGCCGGTTTTGGTTGCTGTCTTTTGGTGACAAATTTGGATAAAACAGCTGAATGAAGATTGTATCATTGAGAGCAAATTTAAGCGAAAGATAGGGAATTTATATAGACTGGTTACAAGAATAATCCGTAGATGCATGAGCGCCACTGCTTGCGACACCCAACCATATCCCTCATTGTCTCTAACCACCGGCGACAATGATTTCAGGGTCCCCAGCCGGGGAGCCTAACGGGACCAATGTGACCTAGTCTCCTGGTCTGGGTTTTCATACTCTCATGTCAGATCTTAGTTTGACCGCCCTTGATCTTTTTCCAACCGCTACCTACATTGGCAAACATCGTTTGTCGTGGCAAATTATCTGGTGACATGCGTAGCACATGTCCCAACCAGCGTAATCTATGAAGGTCGACCATTTGCTCCAGTGGACGACCGTGATTACCTAAACCTCGACACCTAACGTCAGCAATGCTCGTCCGGGTTCCCTACCAGACTCGTGCAATGCGACGTAGACAGCGGTGTTAGAACACCGACACTGAAGACGACCGTTGGGTAAAACAATCCTTGTGCTGGGGTCTTGCATTTATAAACGACCTACCACATGTCATTGGACCAAATACACTATTTGGACGACGCTAAAATCCGAAGGACAGTAACACGTTCAGAAGAGTATTTAGCACTCCAAGAAACGATCAATGCAGCTCACTGTTGATCAGTCGTCAATGACATTGAATTCAACGTTGATAATGCGAAGTTATTTCCATGCAACACAAAAATAGTTTGTCTTATGTTCTGTGGAACCAAATACTAACGCAGGCCACTGGTGAAAGAGATTTGGGAGTTACGGTACAGGATGTTCGACGCACTGTGCCACAGCATCATCCATGGATTTAAAGAAAGTTGAACTACTCAAGCGTGCTTTCGGGTAGTTCAAAATAGCACTGTTCCTAAGCTTGCTGTCAGCGTTCATTTGCTATTCAATTGTACTACCAAACGAATAAAGTATGTACAGATCCCATTGAATTCAATAAGCACCAGTTTTGTAATTAACCCATAATGAGTTTTTACTCTGTATTGGAACGCAAACGTGAGTAGAGCAAACAAAGTATACGACTTCACGAAAAAGTAATTCAAGGTCATCAAGAGAAACGACCCAATGCTCCAATTCCCCATGGTGATGTACAGTTTGAAGTTGTCAATAAGTTTCGGAGTTATATCTGAGGCGGTGGTAGCCCTAAGATGAAGTCACGATCCCGAAAACACATGATCGGTTGATCTTTGCCAACCCGAAGTATTTGTGGCACCGTAGCAACATAACATTAACAGGAAAGCTCTGAAAGAGTGTGCGCACTGCATCAAATGAAGCTCAATACCAAGATTTTAAGATTGACCGTCGGTTATCGCTTCCTTCGGGAATCGTGGAACGTTATTTTATAAAGATTATTGTACCATGATTTGTTCGGCACCCAAATATACAGGGTGACTGCTTCATCGTAGTCGAGCGTCTCGTCCCTCTCACCCGTGACCTTATGCAAGTAAATTCCCTCTGACCCCTGACGCG